GCCACGTCCCACACGAAGTTGACCGACTCGCCCGCGGACAGCAGGAACCGGGCCACGTCCCACGACACCTTTTTCAACGTGTTCACCGTGTCCCGGGTCAGCGAATTGAACGCGTCCGGCGACGGCCCGTCCCCGCCGGTGTCCACGTCCCGTTTTTCCAACGTCATCGTCCGGCCCACCTTAAACGATCAACACACCGCGTCTGACACATACACGTACACGCGCGCAAGCGACACCAACGGCAGTAGGTAGTTGCTTGTGATGAGCGTGACCGCCACCGATTGGCACCCGGTCGCGGTACTCCGATGGAAATATCTCCGGCAGGCGTTAATCGTTACTGTTATTCGTACACGGAAGACGGCCGCATTGTTATGTTTTCACATCTCAACCGAATGGGAAAATTTCTCATTTCGTTAAACGTACAAGTCGTGGTACGAGTTAAATACGGACGTTTAGGTGTACCGTATTAGAAAAACGATTTAACGGTTTCGTGGTTCGGTGCGAGTTGGTGCATGTGGTTGAACGTAGGTACCCGGTATCGGTCGGCAGTCTTAATTTTTTAAGCGAAAAACACGAACGTTAGATGCGACACAATTAAAACACGTTCGGGTTAATACATTATTTAATTAATAAGTGCTTAAACACGTGAACGCCTACCGGAATCGAATAGTAAAAAATTGAATAATTCCGTCGAAAATTAATTATTTTTTTTTTTTTAAATTTTTTTCTCCGGAATATATGTTAATTAAACTTTTTGAAAGAAGAAATTTAAAATTCTTGAAAAATTTTAAATTTATTTAGCACAGCACACATTCTAGAAAAATTAATTTCAACACCGAAAGGGATAATCACGTTTTATCATTTTAAACGGTATGACAATCCGTATTGTTTACTATTTCTACCGTTGTTTATTAAAAATAATTTAATATTTGTCCGTGATACGAGTAAAACCGTTTTTCTCCTACGAATAAAAATAGAGTACTAAGTAAGTGAGTTTAGGCGAAAAGACGTGAACGCATTAATTCACATGCTCAATATTATAAAATCGCGAAAAGTTTTAAGCAACGGGTTCTACAAATCAAATCATAATTTACCGTGATAGCGTTTACACGTGAAATAATGATCACTAGTATTAATACCGGCTAATTAATGAATTAATATAAATTAGGGTAACAGACAACTAACAGTAAATTAAACTACGTTTTACTGAGGTATTTATATGGCTCTGTACTATATATCTGCACGATTTATCGCAGCAATGAATGTTAAAGAATATTTTTGTCCAACCAATAAATATATACTAATTTATTACAACAGTCTACATAAATTGTATTCTCATATAAACTCATATACTTGTATATATCATTATTGTAATTAAGAAAATAAAAAATGAAAAAGTTATTTTTCCCAGTCGGTTAAGGGAGGGTGGTAAAAAATTTGACTATAAGTGGCTCTGGTTGCATTGAACTGCAACAAGACAAAAATATTTAAAAAAAAAAAACCATTAACCCCTACAAAGATATTTCCTTCAGGATATTACGGTGGAACACTCCGTGTAATACAAGCAGTAATGTACGGAAAAGAAATACCATCGAGGTGTTACGTAATAGGACGCGATTGACGTTGACGGGGAATTAGTGCGATTCACAAGACGCTCTCGTGTACTCGTGTAATACGCGGTTGTTCGATTAAACATACTTGTATTCGATTTGTATAGACGGTGCATCGGAAAAATTAACGTTTTCGATAATCAACGGCAGTTGCCGATGAACAATTTTAAAAATCACTTCCCTCCGACGAGGCTTAAAAAAAAATGTATAAAAAAAAAAGACATTTCTGAAAATTTGATCGACAAAAAATGTTGACGAAATTACGGAAAGTTTGACCGTTGACGTTTCTATTATTCATTCGGTCTAGCGATCCCTTTGAAACAATTTATGACTGTGTTTACGTGTGTTCCCGCGTGAAAAGCATTCGGTGAGTTTCTCAGTGATATTCATATTTAGGTACGGGAGTGCGACGATCGCTCGCGGCGACCGAAACGATGATTTGTAACCGTTCGTTTTTTGCGTGCATCGCGTCGTCGTCGCCAACAGTTTCGACGACTCCGAAACATTCGAGATATGCTCAAGTGTTCCGTTTTCGTCGTCGAAAACGACGTAAAATAAAAATAAATGTATCACGGTGCGATATCCGCTCTTGGTATCGTAAGAACACCGAGTTACATTTATGTTTAACGCTATCTAGCGGTGATCAACGTTGATGTTGTTAGCGGCCGCGCATAGAGCTCTGCACTTGATACGGCCCAGGACTCTTGTGCCGCGCCAACAGTGATGCAAATGAGCAACTCTACGATACGGTAAACATCACTAGAGATTATTTTGGTCGTATAATAATTCCGACGGACCGTCTCGATAATATTGAAAAAAAAAAAAAATGCCATTCTTACGATCACCACGATCGTTTCTTTGAAAATATAATCGGATTACACCAGCCTCACCTTTTTAACGTCTATCCTTTCACCGATAAACAAAACTTTTTATGAAACGTACCTACTTCTTTACTTTTAGTCACTCGTGTACCTTATACAATATTATCATACGACGAATCAGTGATGTAAGCTTCGTTAAGTATTTTAAAAATCTTATTGTTATATCGTGTACAGATTTAGAAGTAAATAATCACGTTTTAGTACAAATGATTGTGCAATACTCCACGGTTTTTTGGGTGCGATAACTTTTTTTTCGGTCATAGCTAAAAATATATATATACTAAAAACAAGCGACAAGTGATAAATCAGATAAATCAAATAAAAATAAACTTAATAATTTTACGTTTTTTTAAAAAAAAAAAATTCAAATTTACAACAAACGTCGAATGTCAATTATCTAGCAGTATATAAATCTCATTTATTCAAAATCTATTTTTTAAAACTTATTTATTGAATAATTGTTTCAGACTTAATTAAAATGCAATCAAAATATCATGCATCTCTATTAACGTTCTGTAATAAGACTGTTATTTTAACATAGCAATATTACACGGGTAGTTAAACTTTTTAATGGTTAAATTATAAACATATTTTTTATTTATTTATTTTTTTTAAATATAAAATAGTCTGAATATTAAAAGTGATGGTGAAAAATAAAAATAAAAAAAAGCTTCGTTAGTTTTCCGATGTAAAATTATAAATTAAAATATTTTAACTGTAAAGAACAGCGGATTATAAAATGAAAAAGGAATTTTAATGAAACTGTGTTGGTAGTTATTAAATTATTTAATGTAATAAAAATTGAATTAGAATGTCACTAAAAGAGTAGTATAAACATTGTCGTTAAAAAAATTTAAATTAAATTCATATGCTTTCACAACATATGATGTAATTTTATTATTATTTCCTGATTTGCCTACAAAAAGAAAAAAAAGAAAAGAAAAAAGATTGAATATATAAATAAGAAATGAGAAAAGTAAACCACGGATGAAAGTCTTACACTGTTATAAAAGAACTTATTGTGATTAGTCTATACCTTAGCGTATACGATTTAAATGCATTTATAAAAACCAGACGCTGGAATTTCATCATGAAAAAAAATACATACACAAATTGGATAATGTTAAGTATATGATATTTAGAACTTTAAAATTGATTTTTATTAAACACAAAAAGTTTTTTTGTAACTGAACATAATACTATACTTGTATTTTATTTTATTCAAACCCACAAAAAGAAGAAAACAGTCGAATAAATTACAAGTACAATTAAAAAATGTATTATTTTAAACAGATTTATTTATTTATTTTTTCTGAAGTTGGGAAATTGGTTTCCGATGAAAATGTGCAAGCTCTAGAAAAGCTAAACTCAAGTACATCAATTTTTAATATTTTACTTAAAATTGATTAATAAAATTAAAGGAACGTAATATATATATAAACCGTTTGGTTTATCGTAAAATATTATCATTATATTATTTTGCGACAAGTCATATTTTAATATTTAAGTATCGTGTTAAAGATTTCAGACAAACTTTTATTATACCTATATAAAAAAAATCAAGAAAATGAGATAAATTTCAATATATACATATTAAAATATCTGAACAAATGAATAAAGATTACATATATAAAATGCAGTATATAATAATACACTAAATACAAGTATGTTCAAAAGAAAAACTTAATGTTCGTACAAATCTTAAATTAAAATCCTGTGTGAAAACTGAATAACTCTTAACTTATCACAACACACTAGTCTTTTAAAGAATTTTTTTTTCACCAAAATCTAACTTTACGCTTATAGAACTCTACGTCAAAAAATCCAAATGTTGCAAAATATCGAATTAAAAAAATTGAAATTAAATGACAACATAACGTGCAGTTCAATTATATATAGATTTAATAGATTCTACGCTTCACAACTGCTCGAAATCGTTTTACGGGGTACTTAATATTAATAAATGTGTTATACATTTATTTATATATTTTACAATAGCGTAATAGTTTTTTTTTTAAAGTTATTAATGAATTCAAGAACGATATAAAAAAAAAAATAAATAAATAAATAACCATAAACATTTACAAACAAAATTCATACCAGCTAATAATAATTAATACGTACTCGTAAAATAAACGCCACCAGCAAGAGAATCATTAGAGATCGATCATGCCCAACGAGATAATGCATCTGTATTATTTGCGTTACTAGATTTTGGCCGCGGCAATAAAGTAAAAACTGACGTCGAAGAAAATTATTTTGAATCAACGGCGAGCTTAGCTGTTGTGCAGTTGACGACGATCAATATTTGTGTGGCGTTGTCATTAACTTGTCATAATATCGAACACATGTGAAATACTCAGGTATACATAATAACACTATGCTTTAATGAACAATAACGAATTATGGCGAAAACCGTTTGTTCAATTGTCATGTCATAATTGATGTTGAGAGCTTCAGATGTGTCCTTGTCAAAAATCTGACATCACATAAAATTATTGTTATGGTTTGTTTAATTTTATTTCAAGTAATTATCATCACATATTTTCGTTAATTTATTTTAAATTTATCGATTTCCAAGAAAAATATGTAAAAAAAAAATATACATACCTCATGTTAAAAATTTAATATAATTACTTGTATATATTTTTTAGAAAGTTTTGTAATCGATTTTTCATATTACACATACAGTTGCAATATATGCATAGTAGCTCTATACATATATATATATATTATATCGATGGCATAGCGCACACATGTTGTAAGTGACAAATTTTGATAAAATGAGTTAAGTTCACGTACATGGATTAATACAAAAATTATTAATAGGTTATTGAGTTATTTAATATTATATAGGTTATAGATTGGGCACCTGTATGGAGGAGGAGAAGATGTATATTTTAATAAATTTAAAAATAATAATAACAATCACGCATTGCGAAAACAGTTTGTATTCGACTTAATAGATTAGGAAATTAAATTTTAATTAAGTTGTCAATAATGAAATAAAAATCTTATTCACTCAATTTTGATTTGTAGCCTGTATGATATTCGATTAAAAATTTAATATTTTATTATTATAAAATTTAAGCATTAATAGTACGTATTAGCGTTGAATTGTTTTCCCTTGCGGTTAAGGTGAATTCTGTGGCAACTTTGTAATTGTTCTTTTTCATATCACATGTTAAAGTAATAATAAATCATTTCGTTTGAAAAAAGGTTCAGAGCTTGGTTAATACAATAATGGTCTAGATTATTTATTTATTTTTTTTTTTAACGGACGTACTGTAAGTCTTGCAGTGTATTTCAAATAAAATTTTGAAGCCAATGGATATCTTGATGAATAGACCATGAATAAATAGACCAATCTATAGAATTATTTGTGTTCAATTAAAAATATAACGATATTAAACTTTTAGATCAATATTACATTTTTGATTTTTTTTTTTTTTTAGATAAACTCAAAATATTATTATAAAATCAATTTAGTTCCATTTAATATGCACGCGCAATGTATACATCAAGAGTAAAATTTACTAGGAAATTCTAGGATAAACTAATTTTCTTCATATCTTACGGACAGAAAACAAATACTTAAAATAGGAAAAATTTGGGTGAAATTGAGTCAATACATTGTTTTTTTTTTAAATAAAGCTTCTTATAAGATTAAAACAAATATAATTAGGGCATGATGAATTGCTTAGTAACCGAAGTATACACTCTTTTGTGTAGAAAAAAGTTTATTTATGTGAACTGGATTTATAGACTACTAAATAACTAAGTAAATTGTGCGGTAATTTTAAATTAAATTCCTATAAATGTATCTCAATGGGCATCATTCGTATTTTTATGTATTATATCTGTATTATATGTACCTACTCACACACAGAAATATAGTGGATAATCTCCATTAAATCGCTGAACTTATGTAACACAATTAATAATTTTGATTTCTTTTATGATTCTTCGACACCATATGGTTCATATCTAAATTATTTTAATTCATTATAGTATATGCTTATATTTATAAATTATTAACTTGTTAACTTATCTGGTTTTTTTTTGTTTATATGATTATGGTATTAATAAGTTGGTTTCTCTGTTTGTACGGTTTGCCACATGGGCGTAATCGTCATTTATGATGAAATTATACAATTAAATAATTTTTAAAACTACGGAAATACTATTAAAAAAATTTTTTTTAGATAATACGATGGACGTTCTACAATTATTAACCGTTGTTTGAAGTCAAATATTTTTAATTTAAAATTATTTTTAGTCATTCTTACTTGAAATAATATTCAGTACACGTTTTACAATTATATTCCTTTTTATCTATATCCGGTTACTTAGAAATGCATTGTTATAATATTAATTCATATATTTGTTATTGTTTTTGTTTAAGTTTTGTATTTTGTCTCTGTTGTATATAATACAAACGATAATCCTTCAAAATGGCCGACGCCAAAAGTTATATATTATGACGAGTGTTCGCTAACAATGATAACGAATTTGGTTAATTATTTAACAATTAGTTGGTGTTTAAAATACTAAATGATATTCACAATATTTTGGGCATGTGTGTGAGTGTGTGTGTGTGTGTGTGTGTGTGTGTGTGTGTGTGTGTGTGTGTGTGTGTGTGTGTGTGTGTGTGTGTGTGTGTATGTGTGTGTGTGTATCCGTAATCTTCTAATGGAACACATCATTCATTAAGGTGCAGTTCGTGTTACCAGGTACCATAAATTTCAAACATTCACGTTCGGTAGTTTGGTTCAAATGCATTTAACTAATTTAGATGTGTAAACCAGATTATAAGAGATTATTAGTAAGTACGTACGAGCTCATGAGATTACGAAGGTATCATTCTAAATCCGGTAGGTAATATATATTTAAATCGCATTATACTTGTATAAACCCGTTTGAAATGTACACGTTTGATTGTCTGTTTGCATACTATTCCGCTGACGATGATAAATCTTCCAACCGTCAAATGTTAAAAATTACCAATCTCACCGATGTACTGTACACACAGACTATCATTATTATTTCCTCGATCAGATACCGAGGGATGAGATGATTTACTCGTTGAATAATGTGCGTCCCTTTCACTCGATCTTTCTCTCTCTCCTCCCCTTTCTGCCACTCAGTATAAATATAAATGTTCATTTATATATTTTTTTTTTAAAAATATTAGCCGTTCATCATTATTGTTGGTGCTGTGTACATATTACAATAAGGGAAATAATGCATTAAGGATTTAAGTATATCGTCTGTATAATTTGATAAGTGTATTCGATATTTGAATAAGCAATAAACGGTTGAATTACAAAAAAAAAAAACCACTTAACTTGATGAACGATATTATTGTTTGTGTTTTTGACCTTTCGTTGTACGGCCGTTCGCCTTTCAAAACATTATACAATCCTGCAATTATCAACGCACAGGCGGTATCAGCTACACATAGTAATAACGTCATAGTTTCGAACTCAATTTTTTTTTTTTTAAATTACATTAATTATTACTATTAATTAGACGCACACGGCGTGTATAAATTCAATTAATACACATATATAATTATATTTTTTTTTGTGTTGAGAAATTTTATTCATCAAATTTTGGTTTCTACATGATAATAATTGTTACAAAAAACATACATCTTACTGTTAGAGCGTTATCGACACTAAATGTTGTTATGGACAAGAAAAAAAAAATCACACGGTACGATTGACCGGTTCGAAATGTTACACATTATTATTGCACAGTGTTGAAGTGTTGGGTAATCGATAATGGTAATAACAACTAAATCGTATTCTTCCGGTACACGGACCGCGTTAAAAACTATGGATGTAATTTAAGCATACGCGTTTAAGACGGACTAAACGTTGTACAACGCTTTATCGTATTACCTCTATTGATATTATATTATAATTAATACCGTAATTAATACGTGCATGTGCGAACGACGAAAACTTTATTTCAATGCGTTCTAATGCGATACATGTTTAATATGCGGTGCAGTCGACAGCAGCTGTTTGGCTTCGAAGTATTTTTTGGCTCCTTTGACGCCTACGCGGCCCACGTCGATCTCAGGCAGAGCGCACAACACTCGGCGAGCCCATTCCGCGTTTTTGCGCTGAGTAATCAGAAACTGCGGAAAAAATAATAATAATACACAAAATGTAGTAAAAGCACTAAATAGATTACTATTTTGTTAAAACAAATATTAATTGTATTGTAATAATGAAAAATATAATTATATGTATGTATATTAGTAGTTATGAACGAATTACAGTTAAACAGTAATTACTGTTTAGCAATGGCATGCATCTAAACATTTTCGACCCACGTTATATAATATTAATTCTAAATACCCGATGTAATAGGTTTTCCATATTTTTCAAATAGAATATCATAAGGATTGACAAGTAAACCTGCTAATAAATGGTTTAACGTCCATAAACGGTTATAAATTGTAGCAAATAGTTCAATATCCGCTCTCGTAAACGTTTTGAGCCGGTCAACGTTTTAGACTCATGTATGATAAGTAATTCCGTGAAAGAACATTTAACGTGTGATAACAATACATAAGTAATTTTATACTTTAATATTATCATGTTAATATATAAAAGAAAATTAATTTAAAACGAATCAATACACGAGAGACTTTATTCTTCGTTTCCATTAAAACTCTAATTTTTACAACATAAATTTTACGCAAATAACCAAGTTGAGTTCATCGACGGCAAACCGCTTATGGTGTATAATTGAATTGCGTACGAAGAATGTTAATAATATCGCGTATGATATTCAAAACGACTACGTACTCGACTACATGGCCATTACACAAAGCGATCAAGACGTTTAATTGTATTAAATACAACGCATTAACCCAAAAACCAATTTTCTTACCCTCTACCACTGTGGAATTTTGAGGAACCAAAAAATTTAAAACAATTTCACATCACCTGCGTATTTTGCCCAAACGGTACGTCCGTGAGCGACGGTTTATGGTGTTTCTTCCACAAAATATGTATTTGAACGAGTACTATAATAGTACAATGCCGTTCCATTGTTCGGTATGGCTGTTATTATTTTACGAGATAGTATTGAACTTAAAAAGTGTTTAGCGTACACTTTGAATGCTTGGTGAAACTTTGAATTTTCATACATTGGTTAACAGGTCAAGAAATTGTACTAAAATTTAATCAAACGGTTGTCTATAAACCTAAAACTATTCTCCGTGTACTGGTTCTCGTTTGTATAGATGTAAACTTCAAAACAGTTTTCGGAGTATGCAGTTCCTAGTAACGCGTGTGTTTAAATTATTATAATAACATTAGGTTATGTTTGTGTATAACAATGAGTTTCATTGTAAAGATCTTAAAAATGTTGTTTGATTTTTTGAATTTTTTTTTAAATAAATCTTGTAACAAATATCATCACGTTTTAAAGGGAATTCGAGTTTGTTTCAGCTGATTAAAGATTTTAGGTCATCTTTTAAACCTCACATGCTCATTGAAATTATTTTTAAGAATCTAGTAAAAATACGTTCTAAACTTAATATACCGTTTTAATAATATTTGAATTATATTTTATTAATTATATTTATTAATTTTAATAATATTTCGTTTTCGAATTTTTAACGTTAATGTTATTTAAGTTAATCAGTATGTTATGATAACAGCATGAACTGCACAATAATATATTGGTCATGGATTTTTATGTAAATACATAATTTTAAATATTTCAAATTTTTATACCCATACAGTTTTTATTTGTATTAAAATAATTGTATCGGAATTCAATAAAAGAAAATGAATGAAGTTATTTCAAATCGTGATACAGATACTGCAATTGATATCACACAAGCTACTCATATTACGCAAAATAATAACTTGATTAACTATTTAGCATATGTTTCCACAGATTTTTGTTTCTTGGTTAAAGTGATAAAAATAATAAAAACAACAAATCTAACAATAATTTTATTTCTTGCGATAGTGTAAAATGCAGAAAACAAATTGAATGAAGTTCACGAAAAATTCGGAGTTATAAAAAAAATAAATTTAACAACGTAGGTACTTGGTAATAATGTTGGTTTACAAAAAAAAATGAAAAGTATTAAAAATATTCTTATGAAAAAAAAAAAGAAAATACGTTAAATTATATAGAAATAAAAACATATGACATATGTATGTAATATAAAATATGACTTATTAACTTCGATTGCTCTTCAGCCGTTACAAGTCGATTTTGAGACCTAACCACCTGATATTTAAATTTCAAAATGTCCAAATGTTTGTTGTATCCAATTGTTTCGAAGAATACAATAATGAAAATGATTAGATGAATAATGGTTAATTACTAATATTGATTTTGTATGTATCTGACAATTAATTTTTTTATTCGAAACCGGTTGTACTTTACAAACATAACACTCCAGGCTAAGCATTTATTTATCTAATTATTAATTAGATATTAAAAATTAAAGAAGAATACCGATTTTGTTGTTGTTAAATATTTCATGGTTTTTAGTACTTATTTTGACAAAAAAACATAAATATTTACATATTTTGACTTTTTACTATTTAAAAATCCGCGGCCTAATAATATATTTTCAAAAACGAAACTTATATCGTCTTAGGGTTATTTTGTAATATTATATTGAAAACATTAATGTTTGTTTAGAAAGTTGCTGAAAAATAAGACGTTTAATGAAATATCATCACATAATAGTTTAAAGCACATATGGTATCAAAATGCACCTATTATGTTTAACGGATGCAATTGAAAGTTCCTTGAATAATAAGTGTATATACGTAAATGGCTTTTTTGTTATGCGATGGAATGGAGAATCAATTTTGAAGTTTTACAGTTAACGTTCAAACTGTATTTAAACGAAACACAAATGAATACTGACTTCGCGAAAACTCAGTTTCCCATCGCCATCTTCGTCTGCGTCTCGGATCAGCCGTATAATTGCCGAGTGGCTCCACGGTACACCGCGTACCATCATCATGCCTTTAAGGTCTTCAACGTCCAAATACCCGTCGTTATCCGTGTCGTATCTGCATAGTGAAAATCGTTAAAACTTTCAATAAACGTAACTATTTGAGTAGAAACAAGTATAGACTACATGGAATAAAATATATAATTCTATAAAAGTTCTAAATAGTAAGAGAGAATAAAAAATAGTACAAATTGTTACATTGGTGTAATGTTGTATTGAAAAACTAACTTTTTCATTAATGTGTTCTAGCGAAGCCAATCATCTGATTGAATGCATTTTTATATTCATTAAATATTCATAAATATTCATGAATATTTAAAATGTTTCTAAAAATCAATATTGGATAGTAAATTGAATGAAATAATTAAAACAATACATAAACACAGGAAATAAATAGAACAGTTATAAATCTTAGTATTATAATACTATACCATATCCAACATAAAATACAGTATACTCGTATTAAGTGTCGGTATGTATTGTTATCACATATACCTGACACGGCGGCTTATTATGGTTTAATATTATTTATTTTTTCACATGTTATGCGAATAATTCAAATACTTTAAAAATAAATATAACGATATTGTACATTAAAACGATCTTATAACAGTAAAATAATAATTTCCGGTTAAATAATAAAACATTGCGTTTGATATATCATTACATGGTATACCAATGTAAAAAAAAAAAGGTTACTATACGTTTTTTATTAATTGTGCCACGAAGATTTAGGACTGATAAAATAATGCACTAATATTTGTGTAATTACTTCACTTGAACTATAATATGGATCAGAGAATTTGCGTGTTGTTCTAGACTGTCATGATCGACAAAAAAAAAAAAAAATGGTTGACACTAATCAAAAATATATTTTATATATGTACATGCATGTTACATTCAAATTATTTTAAATATTTTAAATATAATTATGTAATAATAACTTTAATTTTACATAAAAATTAATTTAATATATGTTTTATCAATTTATGCAAATGTGATAAATTTATTACTATATATTGCCTTCATTAAGTGTCATTAATATAATTTTTGTATTCATGCGGGTTGAACGAAGATATAAAAGTGTATAAATAAATAATAAATATTTTATTTTTATCCTGAAAAAAAAAATTAAAGGGAGTCGTGATCGACCTGTTGTACACGAAAACGCGACAAAAACACACGTTAATGGTAATTAAAAATAAAATATGACGGAGACGATCATTTGAATGAAAAAATTATGTTACCTCGTAAATGTTTTCTCGTAACGTTTTATCAAATTCGGCGATAATTCGGGAAATTCGTTTAAGACGTTCTGGCGCTCTTTGCTTGTGAGACTTGAAAACATTTTTTAACCGTTCGAGCGAGAACGTAGTACTGTAACGCGTGGTACTGCAGCAGCAAAACAATGAATATGAATACGATGGTCGATTTACGCAATGTGCCAGATACGTGTGAATAGTGCGCGATCGATCGTAACGCGTTACGTGTTACATATAAAATTACCTGAATAACTGTTTTCGTTGGACCACGGTGTCGTTTAAATACTCATATTGACACAGAGCTGCAGGAAACGCACGGACGTAGCCGTGACCACGGAAAATCGTCATTACGAACAAACACCATTGAAAAACCTACGTAATGTTGTCGAATCATGTTGTTTTTCAAAAAATGTCCTCGGCCATGGTTAGCAGTGGCCACGGGAACTCGTTTTAAACGCCAACACCGATGACGATGACGATGATGATGATGATATGATACGGATACACGTTTTCGATTAAGGACGATGCATTTATCCGAGGCAAAACGACTGATAGCGAATCGTTTGTTTACCAAAATAACGAAATATTTGAAACGTTTGTTTTTGTAAAACATTCAACTTACTGGTCTGATAAGTAAAATCAACAACTTACTCGTGTGATGATATATCCTCACATCCAGAAGTCTATGATCGTCTTTGTGCACAAAAATCATTCAGTTGTACAAATTAAGCTTAGTAACTAAACCTAATTATTTCGTCATTAATTAAATTCCGAGAATTTCAGATTTGAAATTATCGCTTCACAAACTACACATTACGTTCACAAACCGAAACATTAGTCAAAAATATTAACGCATATTATTTAATTGACATTTTTTATTCATTAATATACTTAAAATATTGCAATAGCTCATGAGGTAAGAGTTTTTATTAGGTTCATGAAAAATAATTGATGACTGAAATTTGTATTTATAGTATTCAAAGTAATATTTGTTTTTTTGCTGGTGGGAGTATAGGTAAATATTGGATTTATGTATGGTAAGTTGTAGCTTTAGCACAAAGTTAAATTTTATAACAAATAAAGGAATAGAAGAACATAATAGTATGGTATTAAACATTTTTTTAATTCATTTAATGATGTTTATTTTAATACACAGTAAAATATTATCAATTGATATAAGATACAATACGACCAACAGGATAAAATATAATTATTGGTGTGTGGCTTGTATGTACAAGAAATTATAACCGATTCATACTATGAAAAATGGTTCATAATGGTAGACAAAAAGTTTAGGATTCTTCGATAAACAATAATAAATAATTAAATAGTTTTCTTTTTGCCATGTAAAAAAAATACTTTTTTGGGAAATTTGGGATGGGGCACCCCCTTTGCCACACTTTAGATTCGAGCCCGGATAGGTTTAGTAATAACACAATTTAACGGAGGGATATTCAGTAAAAAAACGCGCAAGAACCGGTTTCATGTGTTGTTATTAACAATAAAGTTTACTGCCGTCGATAAAAAACAAAATAATATCCACAATGAGATAAGCTGATATTATAACTATTATCTTTAACTAGTTACTCCGCACTACTGTACGATGCTTGAAACAATCCACTTGAATTATTTCACTTGAAAGTATTTAAACACAGATCGGAAAATCGTAATCCACCTGATTCGTCGGCCGATTCCAATGAAACTGACCGTTTAGGACAAAAATAATCAGACAATGTATAGAGCATTAAATGTACAACACTTACACATACACAGATTTACCTATTTTAACAATCGATAGTTTAACCTCATGTTTTCTTATTACAATCTGTTTAAATTTATTGTGGTAGGCCGAGTGTTTTGTATAGTTATCGATATCCATCTAAAACGTAGATCAGGGTCGTATTTAAGATTTTTCCGCTCAGGAGTAACAGTATTTTTTTTTATTCATTAAAAAAACCGTTTGCAATTAATTTTCCCCATTTCAGTACACTATTGCACAATATTTGTAATTAATATCAAATTCAAAATAATAACTGAGTTATAATTTCATAAATAAAGTTATAGACAATTGTCTTTTAAAAAGACTGATAGTAGTACCCTTAAATAATTAAGACCTTTTGGTCTGAATGTCTCATACCAAATTAACATTAAACCAATACCTATATCTCAATAAAATACCATTTAAAATAAAATACTCTTATGTAGGTATACATATTGTACGATACTATATAATATAAATAATTGCATAGTATAACATTTATTTTTCATGTAATTTTATTTGTTCATTAATAATTTCCATTGAGAATGCGAAAAAATCGATTTGGTTTTATTTTGAATCACCGTAAAAATATTGCCACATTAAATACTTCAGGAGGGCTATTGCCTCTACGAAAATTCCCTTAAATACGGCCCAGTCAGTGATTTAGTGGTAGGTGCATAGATACTGGTTTACTCTTCAACTCGTGAAACACGAGGGAGATACATCATAATGCTAAAAAAAAAAAAAAACACGTTATAATCATAATCGATACATTTCGAATACCAATCCATCTTTTCGCTTTGTTCAGACTTCAAAAGTTCAATGTTCATAGATATAGCGTAAACAATTTTGGACTGTAAAATGATTTATTTTTTCTTTCAATTGCTCAAATGATTTAACGTGCACGTACTTACGTTTCCGTCGAATACAAAGCACAAGGAAGAAAGAAGTGTGCATTCAATGCCATGTTGAAAAATCATTTTTTTTCTTCTTCTAATAAAGAATATAGAAAAATCATTTTCACAATTGGAATGTATTAGCTTTTGTGATTTCAGCGACTTGAGGATTTGAATTCGATATCGATAGGTATATATATTATGAAAACGAAAGAATACAAAGAAGGTCTGAAGAAAAATCGTCACATTTATTTTAGTAAAACAATAGTTGTTGTAACGATCGAATTATGATAAGTAAACACAATTTATACACTTACATAGTATAATAATTAATGAATTATAGTAATCTTAATAGTTGTTATAATATTAATAATTGTCCTTAGAACGAGACGAACAAATTTTGATCGATATATGTATGTATATTTTATTTGTATAATTCTAAATAGATTTGATAGAAGTATAATATATATATTAATATATATATATATATATATATATTATGTATATAACATAATATTACATAATATAATTATACGTATAGTACATAAACACACATGGATAGTATTGATAAATCATTATAGAACAATCGAATATTGATTCATAATCAAAATATTGATAGCTTTAAGTCTAAACAGAATTGGCATTTTTTACGTGCGATCATGATTACCCTTACATCTAATTATAATATATGAGTATATAAGTAGCGACAATGTGAATAAAACAATTTTTTGCTAATGACGTAAATAATTTAAATTAATAAACATTGCTAATAAAAACTTTAAGAAAATAAAAACAAAACAAATCTAGTTTAAGTACCCACGCGAACATTTTTGTTTGAAACCCACATGTATTTCAATGTAATAAAAACGATTATCCAAATACTAATTTTGTTTACTGGAATAATTAGTTTTCGAGTAAAAATGATTTGAAATTTGCAGAAGTAATATCGTATAATAACGTTAAAGAAAATAAAGAGAGAAAAATATGTTCTTTTTTTCATTAAATGTAAGAATTAAAAACAAAAATTGGATATAATATTGTTAATAGAATTGTTGATGTTGAAGAAAATTAATAAAAAACTAAATAAAATTATTTTTAATTTCACTGATAATTCGTAAGTAGAAAACTAATTATTTCTGCGACATCGTTGGTAAGACAATGATTAGCTACGTGGGTTTGGAAACAAAGAAAAAAACATCGAACAATCCGCATGTACGCCAAACTATTAATCTATGCCATACAAATTATAAGTACTATGATATAAATTATTTTAATTATATTAATTATACTTTGACAGTAAAATGGTAATTATTCTTACTTAAATACTAATATAATATAGAACACGTAAATGGAAAGTCGGAAGGGTAATACATTTTATATTACAATATTATATAAAATTTTGATACAAAATTGAAAAAAAAAACATTTACTTATTTAGTACTCGGCCATTACTGTATAAACTACAGTAATGATGTCTTATCGAATGCTATTGATAAGTAGTTGAACAAAATAGTTACAATAAACATTATAGTTAAAGATTTTTATCGCTGAGGCACAAAATGATTAAAATATTTATAGAAAAAAATAAATGTCATAAAAACATAGTTAACTCTAGAAATAATTGGCTTTTATAAATCAAATGTATAATAATATATGGATGCAAATTTATTATTAATTAATAGTACTTCAAAAGAAACTTAAAATAAAATACAGTATATATTTTATTAATGATAAAAAAGTGTTTATTGTACCATCAACAATGATTTTGATATTTATAATTAAAATGCTATTATACTTCATAATTACTACGGGTAACTCAATATCATTATTGATATCGATAATTAAATATGTACATCAAATATAACATCTATATCAATAATAATAAAAAATGTAAACAAATGTTTAAAATATCATACCTTATCCCTCAATGGTCTGACAATTTCGCTAGTGCGAATCGAAGAAAAGTTTAATTAAACAATTTTTTTTTCAAACTTAAATACAAACAACAACAATTCCCTAGCCAATAATATTAAAAATTTAAACACATTTTTACACATTTAACAACTGTCTGCCAGCAAAGAACCAGCAATGTTGGAACTTTGGTATATATAACTATGAATATATTTCAATAAAATATTTTTATCATACAATTTTACATGATTTTTAGTGGAATTATATTAGCCTACTAACGTCTTCTAAACGACATTATGTGGAGGAGGATATTTCTATAATTTGGTCAGTATTTATAATAAGCGGCCGTAAAATTTAGGATAATTGCATCATAAATCGTCATGATCCAAAGAAGAATTTTGTCTTTTATTAATTTTTTTCATTAAATATGAAAACAAAAATCAACAATTTTTATTAGGTATAATAATATTATCATGTACAAATAATGATTGAATTCCCATTCATTCTCGGTAGAATAAAAATACAGCGAACAAAACGTAATTAGTACCCAATCTGTTTTACATTTAGCTATAAGTAATGTATTATGTCGTTCTGATACCGTTAAGGTTGTTGGAAATCGTGTTCAGCCGGACATGTGAAAATAACAAGGGTTCGCAATTTAGTTCCAAATTAACGAATGTGTCAGTTACATTCGTTTTCTAAGTTGAAATTTGAAAATTATAATACAACAAGTAAATATTCATTAAAACAGAGGTTAATATGATGATCAAACAAACGCAAAACATATAAGGTGCAGGACGTTAAAAGGAAACGATCTGGTACAAATGTTACAAATTTCATAAACGTCCTGGGAAAACAATGTTAGCAGAAGCGAAACGTTCTCGTTATAATAATATTATACGTTTAAGAAGTTATTGACAAAATACATTTACAATACACATTTATAATCATCATAATAATATAGAGGTTTGGAGGGGGTAGGGTAAGGGCAATAATATAATAAGTACTATCTATTTAATGTGTACAAAGTAAATGAAAACCATTTGAATATAATATACCATGGTGGTTGATAATAATTATTATTTTTTTGTTTTGGTTATTGTTTTTAAACGCAGCTTTCTTGTTGGCTAGACATGAGCGGCGTCCGTACCGTTACGATTTCTCGGTGATGGTACGGTGGTAACCGCGACGATATCGTTGTGGTTTTCGTCATGTATTGTTCCGGCCTATACCCATTGTTGCTATAGCCTGGGCCAACTGATGCTGCGGCCTATAATCAGAAATAGTACACATCACGTTATTAAGTAAGGTTGAGCAATCGTTTTTTTTTTTTTTTTTTCACGTAAAATATTTTCCTATGTTTTCATTAAATTTTATCAATTGTTTACGATGGGCAAAACAAAATAACAATTACTTATTTTATTATTTATTTATTTTGGGAATAACGAAGGTATTAAAAAAATATCATGAAAAAAATATAATTTTAAATAAAAATATAATAAAATCTTAAATTTTACTTCATAAATTAAATATCTATGAAATAGATGTATATAAATACAAACTGTCATAAAATATATTTGAATATAAATCAATACATATTTTATCATGAAAAAAATAACATGATTCGATACCCCCAATGATGGTTAAAAATAAAAATGAAATATTCATGTTTATAATAATCAACATGATTTCATAATTATGTTAATTGAACCAAAATTACCATTCCGGAAGAAACATGTATTAACATATTACATTGTATAAATGTACAATATTTTTTGGCATTGTATAATTTTTAAGCTATTAGTTAAGTAATTGGTTTTATTAATTAAATTAATCAGTGTTTAGTATCGTGTCAGTTATTACTCATAGCGAAAAAACTGTAAGCCAACACAATATCGCACTAAAAAAAAAATTTCTATTCAACAATATTTAATCGATTTAACTGTAAACACGAACCTTGATAATTAATTTGAACAACATGACTCCCACTAAAATGTCATTATTTATTAATTTCATTCAAAACAGAAATTTATAAAACATAATTATAAGTAGAGGCAGGATTTTTATGATTTTATATATTTTTTCTAGTCTATGCAGTGAGATTTCTTTATGATTCATGGAACACAGAATTAACAGAAAAAAATTATTTTGCATAAAAAAGTATATTTTATGAGTTAAAGAATATTCAGAACGTTAGAAAATATTTGAGAATAATTTATAAAATTTTTTATTATTGAAGGTTTTATTTTTGTAAATAGTTTTTTCGATGAAAATAATTTATATTATCTATTATTTGTCTGCACATCCATACATGTATTATGTACATCGGCATTTATATAATATTGATCAACAAATACAATATTCACAATATGAGTTATTTTTATATCCTTTTAGGTTATTATAAAAATTAACCACTAGATATCAGGGGTCAGGTGTAATTCACGTACGGTTAAAATTTGCATTAAAACCGCAAAAAAAGTTATTTTAAATCAAATCAATAATACAATTTAGTAATTGATAAATTTAAAAATTAATTAAAATAATTTTTTTTTGTATGGCATATTGAATGAATATTTGTATTGTAAAAGACATAAAGTATCATAGATTTGATATTTTTAAAAAATATTTAGAGAATATATTGCCGTTTTTAATCGACATAAAAACATCGTATTTTAAGGATTTTAAGAGAATATTAATCCGACGTCTAATAATAAGTAAGTAAAAATTAAAGCAAGTATAAATATTTTTAGCAGCAAATTACTCGATTATATTATAAGGTACCCCTATCGGTAATTTGCGTGAGTATAGATTTTTTTTTTTTTTTTTTTTTAATTAGGTTTTATAGATGGGAAAATAAAAAGGGTTAGTATTTGCGCAGAACAAATATTGACGTACGACAGCAATTGATACCATATAGAAGTTTTGAGGCATCAATAAAGGCTTTTACCTATTATTATTATTTTTTTTGATAATAAATGATTGATTATTTTGAGTTCTTCTATAATCTTAACATGTATTTATTTTGAAAATTAATTTTATCCCCCTCTTGGGTTATGGCGCATCTTAATTGTACTCAATTTCAAAGTACAAAACATAAAAATAAAAGCATGACATGTACATAACATGTAAACATGGAATTTATAATTTACAATGTTTGAGCTGAGTATTTTTTTTTTAAATAATAAATATATTTCCATGGTATACCTAAAATGGATAGTTTTTACTAGGCTCGTGAACTGCTACAATCAATTTATATAAACATTTTGGTATAAAATTAGTGAATGACTTACGTGTCGAAGTGAATTGACCGATGGACGCGAACTAATACCATCCACCGGAAGCGTTGGATAACCGGCTCGTTCATCGTCTGATGATTCGGCAGCTTCTAAGTTTTCATCGTTGTCATCATCATTTAATCCCATTGGCAGTTGCTGCACAACGCGATATCCGATATTACCTCTGCTTCCGCCTGGAATAGAAACAGCGAATAAAAAATAAAAAATAAATATATAAATTAAATTTAAAACTTTCGTTCAGAGCCAACAATCGTCTCACGTGCATAGCGGTACAACGTTTACGTCGCTCCCCGAAACAAATCGCCTCTATTCGAGAATGTAACTGTATTGATTCGTCACTATTATGCAGTATTTGTTCGATTTATTCATACTACTTAGGCCAATCGGAGTATTCCGAAACCAATTCATGTTATACCGTTGGTATTGATTTTCATCGATTTAGAATGCACAGATATATCGCCACCCTATCATTGGTAGCACCCGCGTGGATGCAACCACTAGACGCCGTTGTGATCGTAAGCGTTCAGAGTGATAGGAGAAGATTTTCAACAACGGAAAAACGTTGACAGTTCTCGTTCCTATACCTGATTACAAACCGATTTTCATCAAGTTGAATGCAAACCGTTACATTGGCGTCTAGTAACTTCCGTGCAAATAGGCTCATATTTAGCCGAAGTTTTGGTGCCAAACCGCATGAAAACTTTATTGCTAAATTAAGGTACAATATCAATATTTTTTGTGTAAATAGCACTACCCTCCTCCTCCCCGTCTGTTGGTACACCACCGAGGTAGATATTTAGACGTTGGGGTATTTTAAAAGTTTTTCGCTCAACTAAATTTTTTAGGGATTTCGATGCTACTGTTCGGGGGCCGTTATTTCGGTGGACTGCTGAATTGTCGCGCTACGTGGACCGGCAGGGATGTGTCCGTTCGACATTTTAATTAAATTCATTAACAAACGTTGTTGGTCGGTTCGACAACGAGGTTACCAACGACCACCGAAAACAGATAAAACGTTGACTGTTCTTCGCGCCGGGAGGGTAACCGACGCGTTCTCATGGCGCACTCACCTTTGACTTTCGTGGGCGGAATGAGGTCGGGATTCTTGTCAGGGTCCAGTGCCGCGGCCGCGTAATCGTCTCCGTCGGCTTTCTGCTTGCAAACGGCAATGACAGCCGCCCCTCCGCCCGCTCCACCGCCCATGATGCTGCCGGTGCCCATGCCGCCGTGTACGTCCACCCGCCGCTGGTCTGTGTGCCGCCGCGAGCGCACGCGGAGCGCGCACATCACGACACCTGCGACTACGGCTGACACGGCGGTGACGGCCAACAGGCCGGCCACCACGGGCGTCACGTGCAGACGGTTGTTCGCGCCGTTACCGACCACCGAAGAACCTGCAGCAGAGCGAAACATAAGCACGTAAATTAACGTTTCAAATAATAATTAATATATGAATAATAATTCGATAACGGTTTAGCAATTGGGCACGAATCGCCGAGATACGATAGAATCCGATTGATCATAAGTTATGATTCATAACCGAACGAACGATCGGATTCTGCGCGGTACTTTGTCAATATTTTTCACGCAAGCGTCCGTTAAAAGAGTCCGTTTCAATCGCACTGGCTTGTGCCCCTGCGATGTATAAATTCTAAATCGAATCTGCCATTATTTAAAATAAGATCAAGTTAAATAACCAAAGTTTATCAAGCCTCGAAAGTGACTGTTCAAGTTCTGCCGTACGAATAAAATCGTATAATATGAAAACATTAATTTGGTTACGTACGCTACCAATCTTACCGCGCTGTCCGGCAACCGCTATCTGTAGTGGCAGTAGACGACACGGCGTCAGAGAATATTACCGTGATTATGTTATATGAAAGAGTATATACTATGCTTCATTTTACTAAAGCAATATCGCTGTTCGGTTTTTTGTCGTCCGTCAATACCATATAATCGTATAAATTATGGTTTCTATATATATTTTATACCATAATAATATAAATAACAAAGCGCCAATATAAGGGAGGATTATGGAGATTGAAGTTCCCCCCTTTTCATTTCTAGACCCATGCCTGTTAATAATAATTATGATATTTATTAATATATGGTATATGCTGAAATCATATTGTTTTTCCAAGTAGGAGAAAAGTGATCCATCTTCCCCCAGTTGGTACTAGTGTCCAAACCATCTCCAATCCATTGAATCTTCACAATGCCCCAATAATATTGATATATGCTTGTATCATTTTATCACGTCCAACATTCCTACAGTTTTTCAACAAATCTAATTTATAGCGATCGTGAATATCATAATTTATTTCCGTTCTTTTAAACCTACGAAACGCAGCAGTGTTCGTAAACGCTTAAACGCAATCGATATATTCTTATTGAACCATACGTATTATTATTGTATCCACGATTATGCACGCTGCCGCTGCAACTCCATATACGTATTGCAAACGAATCCAAACGATTGGTAAATAAATATCGACGATCAAAAATAGGTTAACTGCAAAAGTTTTCGAATTTCGAAAAACCCAAATGTTTGCCGCAGAGAAAATTAAGCGTTGATATTCGTACCACGATATTGCGCCAATAATCTAAACGTTTTTTTATCAAACGACAAATTTATGTGGATTGCAAATTTAATACGTATAAATCCGTAAATTTGAATAAAATGAAGTATTCTATGTCAAGAAATTCTACCCTCTAAATAAATTACATTGTGCAGATACCTATTTCGGTTAATAGAATATAATATTTTATACCTTACCGACCTATTTATGTGCATATTTAAACGCGTGTATATTTATATATATTTAAGTACATATAAAGTATGGCATGCTACGTTTTTATTTTGAAATATTTTTATTTATGATTTTTATTTTTTAATGTGGTTTTTATGCTACCAATAAGTACACCTTATAAAGATATTTGAAAAAGCGATTATTTTTTAATAATTAACTACTGAGTAGTATTCATGTTTAATTAGATGGGATGGATGAAATTTTTTAAAATTAATTTTTAATCATAATATGAACATCCAGTTCCATTCATTAATACAAATTACGTTTAAGTACTTCAAGCAGCTTAATATAGATATATAATTTTTGTGAATCCATACTCGAGATCTCATATCCAAAATAAATTTGATAATTAGCTCAATTTTATTTCATACACAAAATCAGCGTATTTATATATATATATATATAATACATTTATATGTACTACATTACATTATTTGTTGAATATAATTGTACTTATACTATTTTAGTTTTTTTGGGATTACAATATGATATTTGGATTTTTAATGTGGGATAATAATTAATTATTAATACAATAAACTCATCGGTTTAAAATTCAATTTATTGAATGCTCGTTCTATGTCTTTTATCAATATTATAACAGAGTATTCTAAAAAGCACATACTTAGAATAATTTTATTTCCACAAATATTGTTAAATTAAATTCCATATTTTTTATTTATATTTATATTTTTAAACAAATGGAAGAATTAATTTTAAATTTAGAAGCTTTAATAATTTATAACGAAAAAATATTTATTTTAATTTAAATACAGAAGTCTTCTGAAATAAATGTAATCAAGTTGGGTTTTATAAGTTTGTGCAGTAAGGAGTATAAAAATAATGAAATTCTTTAATATAATTTATTTAACTAATTAGAATGATATAATTAATATTTTACAATTAATATTAAACAATATTTTATATTTTATCTATAATAATATAATACTCGTATATTTAGTTGTTGTTGTGATTTAAATTACCATAAGTATGTACACGGAATATTTTTATTTTAAATCTGTATTTTATAATAATCTATTTTTTTTTTATTTAGTAAAAGTATGTCTTAAAGTCTTTTAAAATAAAAAAAATATAGTAGACAATTTAAGTCATATGTATACTGGTTATAATTCATAGTGGTTATTTTTAAATAAACTATGTTCTACTTAAAAAAATAACAAAAGCTTAGTTTTTTTTCACACTGTTTTATACTTTTCCTAAAAATATTTACTGTAATTTCTATAGAACAACTTTTTTATTTAAATTCTAAATACCCGAAGAGATTATTTTTGTGAAAGCATTGATGCACATAAATCATATACCAAGTAAATGGCTTATTGATAATACATTTTTGAATTTGGACAAAATGTTTTTTAAACTAATAACGGTTAATATTATCGTATTCTTTTCTTGATAAACTCAAAACTCTGTGTTATATTAGTAACATTCAAGTGACTGATTATTTATCATCAATAATAAACCCAGTTGACATTCTCGAAAACCGTTCTGTGAAGCTTCTTCGAAAAATGATATAAGGAATTGTGTAATGGAAACTTTATCTAGTATGCTTATCTGTTTATATAAAAAAAAGATATTTTATTATTATTAAAATTTAAATTGTATATATTATACTTCAGTATACTTGACATGACTCATCTTATCAAAAAAATAGAATTGTTAATATAGAAAAAGGAAACTTCATTAACTTATGCATTAAAGATAAGTTTATATTTTTATATACATGGAAATGCGTGAACGTATATATAATATATGCATAATACGCTTATTGAAGGAGCGTGTAAAGAAGAAAAAAAAATGAAAAAAAAGTTGCCCCGGAGGACACGGAAAGGTATATAATTTTAAGTGATTTCGTTGTATAAAAAGTAAGTCATTTACAGGATTTTGCGGAATAGTTTTCAACTTGTACGTATAAAATATGAAAGTATTTTAAAATAGTCTGAAATAAAGGTGAAAAAAAATAGCAATTCTTAACCACGCAAACCACAATCGATTCGTCTTGTGCGCGCGCTGCAGGGGTATTACTAAAAAAGCCTATACAAATTGCGAAAATAATATAACACTACATCAAAGTAAACAATACGGGATACGTTTAAATGGTGATAATATGTCAAATGTGTACCTACGTACAGCGTTGTGCCGGGGATATTGTTTGGAAACATGTACAACCGACTAGATAATGTATTGTATAATTTGCACACGAGAATCGAAAGACAGATGGCGGCTGACTACAGCTATTTTGGTGAAATTGACTCCGTGCTCGACATGTATCGATAATCGGAACGAGTTACAGTCAACAGTGTGACTGTTGTGTGGACGGTTGGAATCTCGTGGGTCCGGCATGGGATTAATTTGTTTGATAGTGAAGAGCGAGGGGAGGCAGAAGGGTTGATTCTACCCACTTGCGGTCGGTTGTAGTGGTCACGGCTATGTGACAGTGACGTTGTGGAGTTACAAAGTGTGTATACCGTCATAATTCACGGTGAATTAATTTTGTGAATGAATGATTAAGGACCGCGACGTGGTGGAGCATCTAGAAAGTTCGAAAACTTTCAAATAAAATCGCATAGGTAACGGTAGGTACAACAGGATAGGTGTTGAACCGATAAAAGAAACGTTGATTGGTCTAAACTTGTACCACTTGTACCACCGTGTGAACTCCGGTAACAGTTTTCGACTACTTTTTTCTACTGTTTTAATTATTAACAATATGTTTTTTCTAAAGCATCCAAACACCACGGTCATCTTGTATAACCATATACGATTGCAAACACAAGTATATAGAATGGTTTCTTTTCAAAAATATAAAAAAAAAAATAATACGATTTTAAATATTATTTAAAAAAAAAAAAAAATGTTTGAAGGTTAAATACGAAGTGTGAAACGTCACGGCATGTAGCGCATTTCATCGAGTGTTCATGCCACGTTCATCTCGTAGTACACACGCAAGTTAAAATTAAATTAATGGTAAAATCAAAACGGTATCGTCCTGACTATGGTGTAATAAAAATATTTAAACAAGACTTGCTACGATTTTCACTAAGACTTTCACTACGGCAACTATGCCGTTGTTAGGGGATCGGTTAATTTCACTCGTTTGTACCACATTGACCGGAAGAGTGCGGCTCTAGCGATCGGACGTGAAATATCCACGTGATAAGAAAACGGTAAAAGTAACAACATGGTGCTCAATGATAATAGCTGGTGCGCTCAATGTTTCGATTAATTAATATATATAAACCGTGCGGATACTACGCGCGAAATGAAACGATAGTAATATTATTGTAATACGCCACTTAAACAAGAATTTATCTTATCGTATAAAAACAACGTTGTGCATTGTACTATTTTATTTAAAATGCACCAATTACCGAGAAACACTAAATGTACACGAGCAATCGGATTTAAACGAACATAAGTTATTCGATTATACTAAACAATGAAGATGACTCCGGGAAAATTAAAAATAGACATTGGTGATGGTATAAATGAAATAATTGAACTAATACGAACACGCGCACTTGATATGCAGAAACCACCACAATCGTACACGCGTTGAAAGAAGAAGCGACGTGGGCGGTTAAGACATGTAATTGAACATGTCTAAACCTTCACGTAGTAGAACAAAGTGCACACGAGGAGGTCGTCAATTAGCCAAAAGCTCAGGATCGGCACCGAATTCAGACCGTTACGGTACAGTCGCTCTGATTATAATTTGTCACTGCCGTTTCATCGTCGTTCGTGTGGACTTAGTCAAAAGTGTCGATAAATATCGGCCACACCGTAACAAGTGTTCTTTAAAGTCTGTTCACCGAACTTGAACCAACCACTCGGCGCGACACATTATTGTTTAAGATAATGTTACATCGGCTGCTGATGCGTATACGTACCGGAAGTGGTCTGCTTGTCGGCCGAGTTCAGAGTGTAGGCGGTCAGCCACGTGCGGTCGCTGGTGCCGCGCGAGTTGTACGCGTACACGGCCAACCGGAGACCGGCGGTCCGCGGCAGCCGCTGGATCGTGAAGTCCGGCCGGTCGGCCGTCATGTTGGCCAGTAGCTGGGGCGCCGGTCCGTCCGCGGCCACCGCGGGACCGCCGTCCACCGAGTTGTCCGGGCCGTCGGCGTCCGGGCCCACGTGGCCAGCCGAGTCGTACGCCTCGAGCGCGAACCGCTGCGTGACGCCGCCGTCGAACCCTTGTGCGCACCACACGCGTACAGAGGACAACGTCCGGTCACCAGAAGTGCAGTTGAATGGCGGGTCCGGTCTCACTGCAACCAGACATTATTATTATTATAATTGTTGTTGTTTGTGCACAAGCTACGCGTTTTTAAAACGTAACGGTCGATCGATAAAAATCGAACGTGCAGTTATACACGGGCACGTACAATCATGTATGTTCTACAAACTCGGTTCGTGCGTACAAAAATTTAATTTATAATTCATCGTACGTTAACCTTAGGGCTGGAGGAAAAATTATTCGCCAAAGATTAGGAAAAACTTATACTCCACGAATGTAATCCATTTATTATTCGCTTCGTCGCGTCGCGTCGCGTTGGTTATGCAGGAATGATGCGATCGCAGTGAAATCGACCGTTTTGTTTTAATGATTTGATTCGGTCAAACGGTTTTCTCGTATTGCGTTTTATGAACGAGAATTGCGACAAAAATAAAAAAAAAACATAACAAAAACAACATAAAACGTTCATAATGTTTTTCGTCGAATTGTACACATTATATTTGAAGTGTAACAGAATGTTTAAAGTTTTCGACTACGAGCTGTACAATAAATTATTTTTATTCGTATAATACACTGTACGCAAAGGTTATAAATATTTTAAAATGAAACATTAAGCGCCGCTGTACAAACTAAACGTTTTAAATGTACGGTTCGGATTTGCGAAAACTGAATAGTCCTAGAACGCGGAACCGGAGTACGACGAGTGCATTCGTATATCGTACATTTGAATGGGGATGAGGATGGGGGGGGGGAGTAATAATAACCGGCAATAGTAGTGTTACATTCGAATGGTTCGGTGGAACAACCTAAGAGCTCCGTTTTTCCTCATTTTACAGACGAGATTTATTTTGAATGTTGGAAATTTTTGTTAACGAGGATACATACGAGTTAATATATACGATTAAATCTTAAAAATTAATTATAAGTTGTATTATTTACAGTAGCTGTCTGAATTACGCCTGAAACCGGTGACGAATTGTATTTCTACGCTCGGAACACAAACAACCAGAAAACCTAACCATTCGCGTTGCATCGGGTAACAAAACAACGATCGGAAATTGGTCGACGCGGAAACGACGGCCGTTTCGTTCTCCATCGGAGTGCGAGAAAACGTGGAGCTGCCCCCGGTCATCCCACCGAGCCCTTCGGTTCGTAACACTACCCTTTCTCGTCGATGCGAACACGACGGAAAACCGCTGCCGAACGCTGCACTACTTACCGGCGGCGATAACGTGGAACACGCACGGTTCCATCTGCTGGCCGGCGGTGTTGGACGCGCGACAGGTGACGGTGCCGTAATCGTTGTCTGCGACGCCGCCCATCCCGACGGCCGTGGGGCTGTAGTTGAGCACCGAGGACAGGGTGCCGAGCCCGGCGGACGACGAGCCACCCGCGCGGCCACCCTCTCCGCTGCCGCCATTGCCCGTGTGCTGCACCACCTCGTTGTTGCCGTTCTCGGACGCCGGGCCGCCCGTCCTGTTGAACGTCCACTTGAACACTTCCGGCGCCGGGTACGCGTCCACCTCGCACACGATTTCCGTGTTCTCGTTCCGGGCCACGCCGTACGTCAGCTTTTGATTTTGTTTGCACACCGGTTTGTCTGCAACCAACCGCAGCGTTAGCCAAACAACGTAAGTGATTTTATTCATTTTTGTTTTTTTTTTTTAATTTTTTCCTTTTTTTTTTTTTTTTTTAACACCGCGTAACACCGTAAATGGGTACCCGTTTCAACAACCGGCTCGTACAGCTGAAAGTTTTGTGCGTCGCACCCATGTCGTAACACCCCGGCTCTTGTCCGCGGGCATGGTTATTTTTATCGCGTAAAATAAAAAATAACCCGTTAGTTGAACCCTAACTGTCGTCCGAAAACGATTTCAATCGCTTTGCCACGGTCGTACCTTTCGGATTAGTCAACGTAATATTACACCGAACGGTGTTCGACGAGATCGGGTCACCACTCTAAATTCACGTATCTGCATTACACACTGATACTGATATCTCGCTCGGTTTATAAAAAAATGTTTGTAATTGTAATTATTTGTTTGTATTACGGTACAACGAATCGGAACGGGGGTAGTGTGCGCGTGACGATCGTTTTTTTCTCTAAATTATTCAACTGTTAGAAATTCTATTCAATTACTTTGTGATCGTTGTATAATTTTACTATTGCCATTACGATCGTTAAGATGAACCGTACAGGAAATAAAAGACACCGAGTTGATATTTTATTTATTTAAACGTGTTATTGTAACTTATACGGTTAGCAATTAAATTAATTGATGATTATAGAACTCTATTGGAATTAAATTTAACCCGATAAAAAAAAAAAAAAAAACCAGCTATTATTAAAATATAGCTTTTTTTTAATGGACATTTTTAGTGCGAATTATACTTCTCATATATTTGCTTAAGTGTTCAACCCCGTTGACGTTTAGTTTTATTAATTTAAATACTGAGAAAAATCATTTCGATTCCGTTGAACGTTAACTCAGTAAATCAAATAAAAATTAAATACTTTTGTCATAAGTATAGAAGTATTAATATTTACACTCTGTTGATCTGAAATACGGTAATACGATTGATAATGGTATTTTATTGGTATTTTATTGACATTAAACCCAAAGGATGAAAAATAAAATCCCTATCGTACTGAAGTAACAGATGTACTGGATTTAAAAATATTTTAATTATTCAAAAAAGCAAAATCCATAAAATATTTTAAATACAAATACAAAATGATAATATTATTTTGATTTTTAAAAATACTATTATATTATATTACTTCTATATATTAAAGATATTAATTATAGAAATATTTATTATAATATTCGTTTTAATTTAATTAGAGGCCACCAAAATTTGAAAAAAAAAAATGATGTACAATGTGCAAAATAAAAAATATGACGTTACACGAATAATTAACTATTAACATAAATAATTGTTTGAACATGACACACTATGCAATTCTATTTACTTAATTTTCAACAAAAAAGTCATCACTACAACCGAATGAATAATATTTAATTTATTATTTCACCGAGGCCGACATTAAATGTGTTAATTTTCTAATTTAGGGAAGTGACTTTAATTTTAACGTTCCATTAATTTGTTTGTTTGTAGGGTTTTTTTTCTTCCCGTAACATGTATACTTAAAACCAATGGTCTACAGTTAACACACACAGTGTATTACATATATGATGAGAATTCGTAGAAAATTTTATTAAAACTCTTTTTCTCTATTTTTACAGGGCGTTTATCAGATTAGATAAATGACAATTTGTCTAACACGGGGCAATGGGTTGGCAATTTCGCTACGTCCTTGTAATCAACTGAAACGTGCGGTCGAATGTGAGCGCCGTATGTGAGTGCCGTACGGCACTTTAGCACGTATTATAATGTATTATAAACAGATTTTATTTTGTTTAATTGTTGTGTTTATCTAACTACCTTTAGTGTTGATTGTGTTGAAATGTGTTGATTGTAAATACATTTTATAACAGCAGTTTATCATTATAAATCCACTGATTAATTATTGAAATCGATCAAGTGATTGCAATGATTACAAATTTAATGGCTTCTTCTCCGTTAGCCGTATTTTGGTAAGTAATGTATATCATATCTTGTATATAATATTTATACTTAATATTTTAATATTTTATAACTGGATTAGCTGGAAACGTTATGTGTCAACAAAGTTTGCCTAAATTACGAGTATTACAACCGTCATTTTAGTCGTTCAGTTTAATATACTCATATCAGCATATGGAATGCCGAATAAAGATGAATATTTGATTTACTTATTTATTTTAATATTTATTGATTTCATTATTAATATTATTTTTACATAATACATTTTTTTTTATCTGTTATCGATTGAAAAAAAAGAAGAAAAGTATTAAATATAAAACGAAATTGTTTTTTTTTTTTTTTTTTTTTTTTTTTTTTTTAGAACAATTCAATAATGCATTTTCTAACGTGTAACATGTTTTGTTGCACGAGTGTGTATGGGTTTTATATTGCTAGTCTCTGTTATTTTCTCGCGTAAACAAATATTATATCATAAATAATTGCCCTTACACATGACCATTAGTCGGACGACGTTACTCTCGCCATCTCCCTCCACGTTGCTAGCCAAACACGAATAGTTGCCCGCCTGTTGTCTCTTGACGTTCTGAAGTGCTAGGTCATTTTGATTTATAATCACGCCGCTTTTTGTACTTCCCAAGACCACTTGACCCTGTGTTCGGTGAACAGAAAACAAACATGGGTATTCATTACTAAGACGCACTCATTACCATGTATATGAGTACAGTGTTTAAAACATATATATTTTTTTTCCCATAAAAATGAAGGAATTTGGCGATAGGAACTCATATACATACATACACTCACATATATATATATATATATATATATATATATTAATTAGAAGTATACACATATAATATGTATAAAAAAAAAATACGTGACTTGAGTACTCAAATGTCATATTTTTTTTCTTTTAACCGTGTATACATATTCATTTTGCGACACGGGAGTTATTTCCGTTCATATTTTAACTATAATAAATTACTAAGACCTTACTAGTACGGTTAAAGTTATTCATTTCATGCACACTGTATGAATGATGGATCTTAAATTAATATTATAAAATAATGAAGCATATACGGTTAGGCATAAGACTATAAAGGTGGGGTTTAAGTAAAGATAATATTATATATTCAATACACCTATAACATTTTTATAAAAAAAAAAAAAAAAAAATGTTTAGCAATACTATATATTACAATGGTACCTAACTATACAGCTAGTTCAGTTAAATTAAATATTAAAGTTGAATAATTGTTCTATAATAGAAATATATTGCATACATTAATATATGCCTGTATATTGAATAGTATATGAATTGTATGAAGTTAGATTATTAGTTTATAACTAAGCTTAAATCTTATAAATAATTATTTTAACTTAACTTTTAAGTTTTTAGTCAATAGTATGCATATTTAGCGAAAAAAAATATATTATAAAATTTAATATTTTAAGTTATTAATGAGAATGGATCTGTTATTATTGTTATTGGAGAACGTTATAGGTTATTGAATATTAATTATTTTGACTGTCAATTATTATTTTACGTAGGATAGCAATTGTCTTTGAATGACAGTAGTAAATATAAAATATCTTGTAAAAGTACAATTGGACGTACACGTGATGACCTAAACATAAAGTTATGAAAAGTAATTACTAAGATTCTTGTGGAAATAAGATGCATAGAATCTACAAGTTGATTATTTTTTCCAGGAAAATCTAATATTGATGTTAGATGAAATATTTTCAATCAAGAACTTTGTAACTACCAGTATTACTGGGTATGATATTAAATTAATTTTTTTTCGCTATACATAAACATAGATGGATCTGATTAAAATATACCAGTGTATTTCAAAATATTTTAGTACATTTCAGTAAGACCATTTGTAGGCATAACATTGACAGATTGCAGTTAACGGCTAAAATATAAAAGATTGGCACGTGGTTATTTTTTTTTTTTTTTTGCTAATTATTCGATATCTTGCGCGTGCGAGCGAAACGTCTTTAATTCACGAGGACTTTTTATGCATGTAAAAACCATAAAGACTCTCAGTCATAATAACTTTAACTTGTTGATTCTGGAGATAAGGGGTTTCCATCACTAACTGCAATATACACAACTATACATTTTAGATATGATCGCACGGTGAAGGTGTGTTTAGAGAAGGGCAATGGCGCGTCATCTTAAGATATTCTCTGAGAACTGCCATTACGAGTATGCCTGTGAGTAGCTTCTAAAGGCGTTTCAACTATCTTCATTAATATTGTTTCTTGAAAGAAAGCAGTCTGTTTTATGCTCCTCTCTGTACAATCACTCAATTTCGTTGAAACACAGAAGTGGGTATGTAAGTAATTTTTTTTTTTTCTAGAAAAATAATCAAATTATTTGGTGTCTCGAGGTTTTTACAAACACAATTCGCGTCTTCCTTTTTTTATGGATGTTAGTGTTATGGTTCACATGAAATTATTATTCTTTAACGCTGTAATTATTTCGTTAAGTTTTTGTTTTTTCGTCCAATACCAATTTGTTACACGTAAAAGCAAAATCAATTTTTATAGTTACGTATACAGACAATTATTACGCTTTTGATGGATTTCCTCTATAGTTTTAATGAATCGCGTCGATGGTAATTAATATAACATTAGCGGGCAGTTACTTTTAAGAAAATAATAAAAAAATATTTCGTACGACAATTATGAATTAATAAATCGTATTAAAATAATAATTTTACTATATAAATCCTATTTTGACATTTTATAATTATATATTATATTGCATAATTTGTGTTTTTTATTATATTGTTAATTTCCTCCTGATCTGTGTTGACGACATATTAGAGATATCGATATTTCGTAGCGCATGGCACGATAGTTATAACAGGAAATCAGTGACTGGTGGCAACGAGGGTGATGGAAGTACCGGTAAAGATGATGTTAATTGAGGTGCAACTCGTTTGGATGACGATAGAGTTGTGATCAGATGTTGTGTTGCATATATTCTGAGTAGAAAAGATTTTGGTGTTTTTTTTATAGTGTTGAAAGTTTTGAGGTTTTTGATTTTATTATTGTTTAAAACGTATTGTTATTTCTACCGGAAAGTTTTATTTGATGAGTAGGATCTGTTGAAGACATTTTTCTCCAATCTACCCTTTTATCGTTCAACGATTATTAAAAATACTCTCGATGGAGAGCAATAACCGTAAAACCACTTGTAGGTACGAAAAATAGCCAACACTTTACAATACAATGGCTTTCAGAGGGTCAAATGTAATTCGTATTTTAAATTCTATAATACAACAAACGTGTTTTTTACCGCTAAGAGTTAAACAGAACTTACTGCCGAATACTTTTATCTTATTAGTAACGTAGTTGAATGTCGTATTTAATATAGAAAACGAATAGAATATCAACAAGAATAGCTTACGTTATGCTTCCAGATCACTTTGTATGATAGCGGGTTGGCATCAATTTTGCACTCGAAATACACATCATCACCCTCTTCGATGTCGGCTGGATTCATATTAATACCTAATGCCAGTTTCAATAACGGCACGTCTGAAACATACGAGTAGGGGCATAGTTTTATGAGTGAATCTTTAACATAAATTACTTGAAACACAAATGAACATACGACATGTATAATGTATTGTTTACACTTTATACTATATTTATTTGAGATCAAGTAAAATGTTTGTACAAATTTATTGAATAAAAGTTAACCGATTGTTTTACAAACTAGTTATTTTTAATAAAAAAATAAACATTTAATGAGATTTTTTAATGCAATAATTTAATTTTTAAATATATATTCTATTATATTTTGCTGTATTATTATGTCGTATAATTATTTTAATATTTTATCAAACTTTTTTTTTTTTTTAAATACATTTTTAATAGGTTTATTTGATTTAAAATATTTTATATACACAATACAACTATTATTTATTATTCAGCTAAAAAATGTATATATATGTAGCAAATATGTTATTTGTTTTGTAGAAACATTGATCTTGTTTTAAGTGTTCATAACAAACTATTTATATTTACATATAGGGATATATCATATTTGTTTAGGATATCAGCAAACATAGTAAGACCTTATTGTATAACTAAGAATTGGCGTCTAAAAAATTTTTCTTAAAATGATTCTAGTAGCACAATAATACTTGGTGCAAATAATCTTTAAATAACGAGTAATATTTTAAATCTGGTAATTTTATTAAACATAAATGTTAAGCTTTAAAAATGTTAAATTAATTTATATTTCGTAAGGATTTGGTACTGTTAAAGTTTGACGACATGAAAGAATAATTTAGTTTTTATTTAAATTATTATACAATCAATGCATAGGATACTTTCAAATTATTCATATACGATTGTTATTCAAGAAAAGCAATTTTTATTTATGTACTTGAATTTACTTACAGTGCACATCAATCTTCCATGTATCTTCCACTTTACCAGCTGAATTGTCTAACTGCTGTCGCACTTGGTCGTTCTCGGCTCGGCATATTAATGATTTTCCGTTGTCAGATTTTGTCGGTTTGAACGTTAATTTGGACGATGTAACATTGCCATCGGGTGATACCTGTCGAGAAAAAAACAATAAACAAACAAATTTTAAATACATGTATTTAAATAATTTTAAAATCTTTTTAATCCACTCGAAAATACATTTATTTGTTGGAAATATCACAATGGTAATAATTGTGTAACTATCAAATTTAAAGTTTATCCATAGTAAAATATGAACAGTGAATATAAGGATTTTGTATAAAAATCAATAAGTACTTATTTTAAAATACATTTTTATTATTTTATAAAATTATAAATATTTACGGTAAATTGTTATTGTGAAACAATATAGTACACTTGTTCTTCTTTTTATTAAAAAAAAAAAATAACAATCAATGCTATTACACAGTAAGATAATATGTTAAAATAATTTACAAACACTTGAAAAATATCAATGGAGAGAGACCATCCAGTGATAGAGCCCTCAGAGAATGGATTTTATAAATACATATATATATATATATACATTTAATATTGTTTATTTTTCATTCATTAAATTATATCGCAACACTATTTATGGTTTAATTAACGCATTGGGTTATCAAGAAGATTGCCAGCAGAAAGAAGAAAAATTAGAGGGTTTAAATGAAAATGGAGTTTGCGATGGAGGTTTAGATAATATTTTATTACTAATTGACTTTCAGTTTCTTTATTGAGGTCATTATATAGGGAGTTATTTCAAACATATCAAGGTACTGAAGTAATGACACGAAAATAAATGGATTTAAATAACTGAATAATGTAAGTTTGAAAATGCTTAGAATTTACCCAAATTTGAATTACGTAAGCACAAATTGGTCTCGGTAGGGACTTGTGTATAAGTATTTTTGTTTTAATAGGCATTTTAGATTTTAGTATGGGACGGAGCAGGTGAAGACGACCATAAAGTATTTTACGCTTGGCTTTTAAGCGAGACTTAAAGTAAGTAACATCTATTCTAGGAAATATTCTTCAACACTTTATGAAGTTAAATTGTACTGAAACAGATTTTATAAATTTATATATTTACTTAATCAACCATATTATTATTTTTTAATATAATGTACAATAGCTGTAAAATAATATAGAGCAAATGCACATAATTGTATCACTGGAAATGCCTTAATATGGGAAAAAACAAGTTTTTAGTTTTTAGTTTTTGTTAAGTGAATAAACAGTTAGTCTTTGTTACTATCTGAATGCTTTGTTGAATGAAATTTCAATCTGTCGATTACAATTGTTTTTTTATCTATCAATATAATAACAAAGTCGCAGGTAAGATGAGCGTAGAAAGTTCAAACAATAACATATACCATACGTATGTTTTAGTAATGTAATGTATATTCTAATAATCGAATCATTTGAGTGTTCGATACTACAGTACCTAATTTGTTTTATCCGTTTTTGCATAACAAGCTTTTTATACTATTTATTATCAATAAGTAATCCATATCTACACATCTAAAGATAATGTATGTCAATGATTAATCGACCTAAATACAAAAATAAGTCTTATCTTGCAGGTACCTGTTCGTAGTTAGCTTTATTTTATTCGTTATAGCCAATAACTCGTAATAACCATACTAGTTGTAGACGTATATTTTAACATACAATCATATGTGCCATGCCGGGACCTAACATTTTGCTTATTGTAAGCAGTATTTTTTTCTAAGCGATGCTCGCTATAGTGATTTATAGTTTATACTGTATTAATAATAATTTAATTATGATATTCGAGTACTTTGCACAATTTCTATTTTTGTATTTTAATTGTCCTATCAAATAGTAAATATCGCTGGCTTTGAATCCACTTCTTGCAGGTCTTTATGCACCATAAGCCATATAATATTATTATTGAACGTTTTGTGTTGCGCAAAAACTTAAACGAATAATTTTTGTTACGTATTGCATTGTAGCATAGAATACAGATATTCAAATGTTCGAATAATTCCCATCAATAGTATGTTTATATAAATTATAACAGATTTTGTATTATAAAATATAAAGTAGTATATGTATAGTGGATGTAAAATACATTTATTTCGGTTTTATACATGTGCTATAAATTATTTAAATTATTTTTAAATTTAATATATTGTTTAATATTCTTTGAACTTATAAAACAATATATTTCACGAACGAACTGCAAACAATATAAATATATATATATATATATATATCATTTCACTTTCATATAATAAAATAAAAATGACTTTTTTTTTTTCACTTTTCTTTAGTTTTTCACGCAACTCAAACGAAAACATTCTAGAAACGTACTCGCAATAAACCCAGCCACGAGTCAAAATAATAAGTTTTGACCGCATGGATTGGTTACGTCGAGTAACACTGAGTAATGACAGACTTTTCGGCTTTTGTTCGGTATACAAATATACACATACACACACACACACACACACACACACACACACACACACACACATATGATCAATATGGTTTTTGTAAATGTATTATTTTTTTTTTTTTAAATAAATAACTTAACATTTTAGTAGTGTAAGAGTTATAAAACATTTTACGTAAAATGTCGCAAATAATAACGTAATATTCATAAACTGACGTTAATTTATGTATATCTTAGTTGTACAGACTTTATCGTTAAAAAAAAAAATCAACAATTCGAAGTCGCTTGTTTTGATCAGTTTTTTAAATATTTGTTTGCGGGCAAAAAGTTAAATATGCCATCCGAGGGGAAAATTAAACAGCATCTGCTGTTCGGGTCATAAATATAAATCGAGTTTATTTTATATTTTTAATTTTGCAACCTATTGATAGTAAACAAATGGTAATATATTAAAAAACTTTTTTCAGCCATTGGTAATATAAAAACTCCAACGGCTATTATTTTCGGTAAATAATATTATCTTCTTAGACTTTTATAACTAACATAGTAAAATCGATAATACCACAAGGTTCGAATAGTTCAAAGCTTGCAGAACTTCTAATTTTGAACATGCTGCCAATTCCTTGGCATTATAATACCAATATTTTGTATGTAATTCGATTTAAGAAGAAAGAAACTAATTTAATGAAAAGTATGTAATTCTAACAACCAAAAGAGAAAAAATATGGTAAGTAAAATAAAACTATGGCGTAAAATTATGTATAGTATTCGATGTCCATGAAAATAGTTTCTAAACACTTTGGCAATCAAATTTTATCAATGATATATAGTATCGCGATAACATGAATAAATCATTCACAGATTCTTATCGCAATATGTTCACGATAAATATATACTGTACAGGAGTTATCCATTTATTCATAAAAGTGTTTTCAAGTAAAATAAAACAAGATATTATAGATTTCAATAAATTTATCTTTTATCCAACGTGTAAATTATACATTATTACATTTCGTTTTGAAATTGATACAAAATGCATTTTTCTTTGTGGCTATTTGTTTTGAATTATAATGAGTTATAAAATGGAGTATAGTTTGATCGAACCACGGAATATTATTGATAATAAATGTTTTATAATTTTTAACTTGGAACTTTTACAACAATTTGGATTACGCGAGCAAAATATTTCAAGAAGCAAATCAAACAAGACCGACCATGATTTCCATTCAAAATAGTATTAGGTTTTAAATAAAATATAATTTTAAAAACATAATTCGTTTAAAAAAATAAAGTTTATTTCCATTTTTTTATTTGACAAACGCTCTCTTTATTTTTCTAAAAACTTTAATTTCAATACAATTAATTTACCGTTTGAATATGCGTTGTTGTGTTATAGTACTGTGACTGTAATTTTTTAATATTTTTTGAGTTCAAATCATTATATTTTACAATATTTTCAGGTTATAACATTAATTTCATATTATTATACAGATGTGTTATTTGGTTTTTTTTTGGAAACGTAAATGAAAGCGAGAAATACTTTCTTATAGAAAACATAGTATCATACCTATTGTCAAAAAATAATACATATTATAATTGGTTTCTATTATTGTCACGGGTAAACTATTCTTGCAATAGAAACTTGTTTTGTAAGTGGAATTTTCTGAGCAGTCAATTGATTTTTCTTATTTTAATTTTGAAAGTAATTGTATTTACTGTTATTTTATTAATTTTTGAAATACAATTAATCGTTTACATTTTTTAGAATAAATGAATAATTACTAATTAGTTTATTAAAATATCTAAAATTGTATTCGCTAATACTTGAATAACTATAAATGGAAAAGATATTTTTCAAATCCAATTAGACTTTTTAAATTTTTTGCAAAACAATATATTAAATAACAGTGGAACTCATTTTGTTCAATCACTTTCGATCATTGTTATTTTACGATAAAAATGAATAATTAATAATTACGTTTATAAATTGATTAGTCTCGTAATCTTCTACCCGCAACCTGTTTTCATTATGATGGTGCGGGTACTCTTCTTGAATGTAAACGATTATAGTGATGTCTAATGAAATTGGCCATACGCCATATATCATAAATATCATAATGAGATGTCTGTATATAATAAAAACCATCTATGTATTTACAAATAGGTAAAAATAAAGGATTTAGTCATTCGAATGAGATTGCCATGAAAATATAAAATAGTTATACGCATAACAGCAACTATTAAATTAAGTTAAATAATTTCACTCTTATTTCTATTTAATAGTAACAATCGTTTTACAATTCCATTTTTTTTTTTAGTGATATCTAATCGCAATGTATTGAATTGTGAATTTCTCATATTTTAATTTTAGTTTTCCTTTCCGTATTGTTTTTACGTTGCTTTGTCGTTCGTGACGTAATTACTAAAAAATATCTTGTTCTCGTAGCCTGAAAGCGATTTTCATGAACACTTGATACGTAAGTGATTGAAAATTACTTAATTACTTTATATCCATAGCCGTATAACATAATGACATACTATTTTACTTTGTACTACTGTACAATCCCTTTAAGGTCATCGGGTACAATGCATTTGTTTACCGTTATGTCCTAACATCTATTCGGTACTATTATTCGTTGTACAAATTAAATAATCATAACCTAACGTATGGGCATCAATCAATTAATTGACGATCGTACCGGAGTATTGATGCATATCGATTCTATTTCGTATTCATTTCTAACCATAAGTTTCTGGTCTTTGTTACTCGGTGTTTATTCGAATTGTTTCGAAACCGGACTGACTAAAGCACTCGGCACACAGATTTGTTTGTGCGTGCGGTCCCTCCCCTCTCCACCGTGACGTTGAAATTCATCCCGTTCATTTGGTACAGTTTTATCTTGACTGCAAGAAGGACGGGTAAATAGTGATTTCTCGGAAAGTATAATATGCACTCGTCAGTAGATAGTGCACGGACGCGTTATATATATACGCCATATTTTTTATACTTAACTACATCGTACAGCTACTGGAATAAAGAAAAAAAAAGTACCACTCGGATAACTAGAAGATAAAATTCTCATTTACCTCGTGTGAAAATCGTATTCGTACGACCGTTTCAGAGTTTTTGTCTCGCCACTAACAAAAACCGTTGCGGTAAAACTTTTCTGATTGCATAAATTAAAAAAGCTATATACTGACACGGAACGGTCGCACGTGAACTTCTTTAAAAATGCATTGAAAAATCTTGCCGTTTATGAGATTTTCTTCTCCTTAACGTTTTTTCCGGAATCGACGCACCCACACACACACGCACAAAGGATCAACTAAAAATCGTTACCTCGCATTTATATATTTATATATATATATAGCGTCCTCTTGACGTAATAATATAGACTGCGCGAATTAATTATGTATATTACGTGTGGCGGAGTTCGGCGGAAAACCCTTATTAATGCACTGTTCACTGATAAGCGTAATTAAATTTTAACTCGAACGCTGAAACTCTGGACGGTTTCCGTGGAAAAATAACAACCCTGGGTGAATCGTCAGGCGCGGGCGATAAAACCGTCGACGAATCTCGTAAGAAACATTCCCTAGACGAGCGCGCGCGTCCACGTGGAATGCCCACGAACGGTACATAATATGCATGATTGTAATGTTAATAATTATTTTGTATGTTATTTATCTCATATCACTTTTCACCGAGTCCCATCTCCCTGTGTGCGACCGTGTTCAGACTGTGTTCACGCGACTGTCATACCCCGAGATCTGTTCCGTAACCTCTCCCAACTATACGCACAAGTCCGGAACGCGTCGCTTCATGCGCGTGGAATGCGCGTAACAACTAGTTTCGGGTAACGAAAAACGTCCCGGTTTCATGTACCAGTTCGCGAAGTCCTTAACGAAATCCTGAACGTGAAGAAGTTTTTCGCGTCGGTGGAAACGGTCACGAAGTCCCGTAGCGGATCGCGCGATAAGGCATCATTCGCTCTGTCGCGACAAAGAGAAACGAAATGCGATGGACGCACAAACAGTTGGAGGCCAAGTCTTGCCATATAATAATGATAAAAACTTTATTGCATTTAAGAATAACATTTTTATATACATTATACAAATAAAAATTATTTAAATTATTGTCTCCACAAGCCAAGGTTTGTGTAGGAGACAACAGTTCTTACTATAAGGTGTGCTTACAACTTTAAGACAACTACATTTAATTCTTGTCAAACTATTCAAATATATTATTAATCAATCATTATTATGCTTACGGTCTGCGTGGCGTTGGTTAGGCGTTCGTTGTCCTTCCACCATGTTATGTTGGCCGGTGGCTTGGAACCCATCGCTTGGCACTGTATCTCGTACGTCCGACCGGCGCTGAGCGGCTGCCTGCTGCTGAGCACTTGCACAACCAACGGTTTCACTGCGGACAAACGGACCGTTATAATTATTTATGCGTGCACACACACAGACACACACACACACACATACACATACACACACATACACACACATACAACGGTCACAGGACGTATGTTATTCGTCCATTTTTACATTTTTTTAAACGTTAAAAGCACACTTAAGTATGTATAACTTTTGTACACGCATAAAAAACTGTCGTTTGTATTGCGTTCGTTGCGGTATTTTATTTTTTAAATGCATCTTTCAGGCCACTTAGCTCGGAATTACATTGACCATTGTTTATGATATACATCGAAAACGTGTGCTGCGTCGAACTTTGCGTTTATTATTATATTGTATTTGTGTCAAGTTTTGAAAAAAAGATAACGTTGTATACACAAGTACGGTTGAATGAGCAAATAAAAAAAAGGCAAATATCATATTCCGATTGTATTGCTCATCGCAAAACCCCCTTGTAGTTTCTTGGCCGGCGAAAACGACTGAGATATTATAAATATATATTTATGGCGGAGTAATGGAGTTTTCATTAATCCTCGTGGGAGACTCCGTTATGTATTATATACAACATATATTTAACCTGATCCGCTGAGATTCAAAATCCTTATAAATGGAGAAATAGAAAATTACGATGGTCGTTGTTTCAAATAAAGGTTATTCCAATTTAGTGTTGATTATACTCGTTCGTATACATATACTACGTATATATATATATATACATATCAGTTATGCCGGTATCGTTAGATGATTTCCCGTAGCATAACTCTAATTGTCAGTATCAGGAAGGTGACTATGGCGATACAAACCATGAATATGTCAGTAGGATTTTATTAATTCCGTAAAAAATATTGTCAATTTTCATTGAAAAACAACACTATTTTATTATGATTTTTGCTTTAATAGAAGTTTTTATTTTTTTTAAATCATAAACTTCTAAACGATTTTTGATTACAAAATTATAAATTTTATATAACGTGGCAATATAGTTGGTATGAATTATTCAAATTATTCATGAGTGTTATAAATTAAGTTTTGACAAAATCGAAAAATCGGATGCTTCAATACATTTTCATTATACTATATTAATTTTATCATTAAAGAAATTTTATAGTTTAGAATTATTTTAATTAAATATATGCTCTAATGGGCATTTGAAATTTTCGGTTTTCTCAAATTTTAAATTTTTTTTTGTGAAAATTAATACCTACACTAAGTGTGTATTCAACCTAATTAATAAATTTGGTTTCTTCACTATATCAAGCATTCTTAGAAAAGTAAACTGACAACCTCTACCATTCAGAATCGTTTTTTCAGAAACATTGTTATATTGGTTAGGAGTTCAAAAGATCGGTTTCGCATTATTGTTTGTCCGACCCTGTCTTTCGTCAGACTTAGGAATTTTGTTTTGTATCGTTTTTTTTTTTTTTTTTAATTCAAAAACAATACAGCAAAAGTAAAAATCTCCCACCGGACGTGTAGTACCGATATCGATGTAGTCCCATTATTATTAACAACATCAATGTTTTCAATTGAATTCCTATATGTGCAATCCCTATTGGCACATTGAGCATTTTAAATTTTTTTCTACAGGCAACCTTTAAGTAATAACATGCAATTTATTAGTCTAGTAATATCGAATCGTCGTGTACTCGTATTAATTCCCAGCCCACTGCATATGCCATTTTCGAAAACGCTTTTACTTATCGATGGACATTGGCGTAAATTTTCGATTTACCAAATCGAGTATTTTGGTATCGTTTATGCATAAAGTTAAAAGACCGTTTATTTATTGCAAAACTTTACATTTTTGTTAATTGTTAAACTAAAATCTAGTTCTTATGGTAATTATAGAATAGTAGTATAGAATAATATTTCAAAATTTTAGCTCGAAGAAATATGTACGGAATTAGTGTTTTGAAACGAACCGCCGAAAGAAAATATATGATTAAGATTCGTACAGTTATCATTTCTATATGATAGTCATTCTAAAGTTTTTAAATTAAGTGACTTAGAACAGATTATATGGGTCAAAGGATTTTGATTTAAGTCCAAAATTGTAATGTTTAGGAAAATACATTAACATCAACCTGTTAAGTATTTTCTTTTGTTATTGCGTAACGCAAATATATTTTTAAATAATTTGTAGAAACTAGATCAATTAAATATAAAAATATCAACGAAATACGTTAATTAACCATATTTTAATAGATAATAAATATATTTAATAACTACATTAAATGAAAGCTAGCTGCTTATAAGTAGTCTGAATTTTATTTATTATTCTTAAACTGATCAATATTATATGCCTAATATAAAAAATGTATTATTATGATGATTTGAAAATATTTAAAGTTATAAAAAAAAAATACAATAATACAGTTATATATTTTACCACAAATTAAATATAAAAAAGAAAATAATAATAATAATAATGAGTAACATAAAAATGTAAAATTTTAGTGTAATTAATTTGAAATTAATCTTTTTATTTCTGAAAGTGCATGAATATTTTCGGTTAACAAATGCACGTGCGTAAAATAAGTGCGAAAACTCTGTCAAAGTAAAAAGCATACGTACGGGAAATTAAGTGATCTATGGATACACTTGTTATAATGAATACTAATGTTCAAAATTAAACACAACACGAAGAGAGTATAATATTAATGAGATGTTGCAATAAATTTATTATCCGTAAACAATGTAGTATAACATAGCAGTAGAAACTAATATCTACGAAGTTTGTGAAATAAACGTGCTTTTAATGTTGGCTATGAATCACGGGGGTATCGCGTGTTGTCTTCCTTTTTTTATATTTAAATTGTATTTTTTAAATGCTCGTAGTACAAAAAAAAAAAAAAAAATTAATCGTCATTGGATACGTCATATATAAATGTAGGTATATACGTATACAATAAAGCTAACAAAAATAAAGAAAATAACGATGATAATTTTCTGTACATGCATAAACGAGTATTTATAAGTAAAGAGTAGTTACTATAAGTAAAAATATGTTCAAGTAATTTTAAAGTGATTTAATTACGTGTACGTTATGTGTAGTATGTTTGAAAGTAAAAATAACATAACTTATATTGCTGGTCTAAAAAAAAAAAAGTGTATAGATTGGGTTAAAGCCAATCAGTTAAGTCTACTTTGGAAACTAACGATGGCTATGAGTTAAAACTAATGTGCTAAGCAGTAATTATCCCAATTAATCTACAATTTGATCTTGTAATTATATTACTTTCAAAAGTTTCAAATAAATCGGTGTTTGTGTTTGTGAAAATATAAATGTATTCAGGGAACATGGTGTAAGAGACGATAGTCCGATAACTGATGATTGATAAATATTGTGATAAATATTGATAGGTATTCAATGCGATTAACGTTCGTTGATAAATTAATAATTTAGTTAAGACAATAGTTATATTTAAAGGCATTTTATATTGGTTGGTAAAAGAGATTTGTACGTATCTACCTCGGATAAATAGCTTATAGTACATTAGAGTAGGGATAAAATAAAATCGAAAAGAGAAAAAATGTTCGAGCTGTCGAGACAAAGTGATATTGAAATACAATTTTGATGGGATTACGTATAAAATACAATTTAAAAAGTTATTATTTGATTCCGAACAATAACTTTCCAGAAATTCTGTTTTATGCACACGCATATCGTTTTATAGATACATTGATAGTTATAAACGTGGGCACTTTCCATTGTAAGACCGATCGTGCCGACAAAACACTAGCTGATGGTTATTGGTATTTTATAGATTATTACCCTGAGGCCGTTTAGCGCATCACGATGTTTTAAAATGTATTAATAGAAAATTAACGAAAAGATAACTGTTCCACGTGGATAAGAGAATTTATTTTTAAAAAGATTTCAAATGTTTTTACCAAGAAACAGTAAATGACAAAAACAAAGATTAGTAATTGTTATCCATTACCCAAAGAGCTATAAGTGTTGTTATCATACATGGTTATTCTTGGTTAGGTAAGAATCCCACAAATGTGTAATATATCTGTGCTAAATAACAGCTACATTTGATCATTACTCATTAGGGTATAAATGTTCGGTACTTTTTCAATCATATTATTATCATTACATATTTTCATTATTGAATATAATTATGAAACGTACCAAGGCGGTACGTGGAAAAATCCTCGAATCTCTGAAGCATTAAGCATATTAATTAAATATTATACGTACAAGGAAATATATAGATAACTCAATAGATAACTAAATATATTAAGATAAATAAATAGATAACATTTATATTTATATCTCAATAAAAAATAGATAATTTATATTTTTATCTCAATGATTATCTAGACAAGTCTCGATAAATAAGACTTAAAAAATAAATATATTATAAAACACTTTAAGTTATTGTATATTATTCAACTTTATGTTTGTAAAAAGATCAGTTTATATTTATGATCTATTTTATACTTTTTATTTCAGCAGACGCTACAAGTGCTTACATCTATGTAAAACTTCTTATACGAATTAAAAATTAAGATCATCGTTACCGTTTTAGACCAGAAAATAAATTCCAAGAGTGTCAGATGTAAACGGTATAAGAAATTTGAATAATCTAGAAAAATAATTCCCCTTCGAAAGTCTTAAATCTTGTTCAGATCCTATTTTTAATATACTACAATATTGTAAATATCGACAATGTTTTTTGGTAAAATGCTGTATTTTTCTTTCATTCTCTGTCTTTTATTTATTTATTTTTTTATTTAAGACCTTTATAAAATGCCGGAAGAAACCAATTCAGAATTAATTAAAGTTAACGGATCAGATAAAATAGCTCTTAAATTGGAACAAAAAAAAAAAATCGTAATCACTGATACGTGGTATTGAAGGCTTGTGCGTTGTTAATAATGAAAAGTTTTTTTTTTTTTTACAACACAATTTCAGTCTGAAAACACTTCAAAAACTAGTGTTTTTTTGATGTAAAATACATTTTTTTCTACCTCATTCTTTCGAAAGTAATT